CCCGGAAACGCAAAGCTCATCGACGGACGCCACGCTCACTTTCAGAAAAGATGAGTTTTATCCTTGAGGAAGATGAGACTGGCGAGTCGGTAGCCAGCGATAGCGGCAGTGGACACAGTGGAAGTCAAGTCACATCATCTCCTCCCACTCGCCATCGCTCCTTGCCTCCCCTGCGACGGAGTCATTTGACCTCTAGCGTGTACTCCGAAAGGTCCTACAACTCGTATCAGGTCTCCGGGCGCACTGTTTCACTACCTTCACCTCTCCCAGCATCACATGGTGCATCCTCCGTATACAATACGTATACTTCTCTCGTTCTACCTCGAGCAGCGTTTACTCCATCCAAACACCCCGATCGCGTCAGCAGTCAGATAGATATCACGAAGAGTGGCCTGGCCCAAACGACCATGTCCACTATCGAGATTCGCAAAGGCGCAGCCGACCGCTTAGGGTCGCATAGTGGGTTTACTACGTCTTCTCGACGTAGTCTATTTGGGTCCTCGTCTATGCTTACCCCAACGCCAGAGCACTTGCTGCTTGACCAACCTTCCCCCCTAGGTTTCTCCTCGCATACCTCTCCACCCTCCAAGCTGCAATCCAATCAAGTCCTAGTACAGGTCTTCATGGTTGGTTTAGATGGTCTGGATGCTCTGATTGTCAGGGAGAAAACGAGTCGCAACACGGGGTATGGCTTCGTCCCTGGGCGGAGCTTTGTGGGCCGAACCGTCGAGGTTGGGTTCGAAGTGCGGAATGTATACAAGGGAGACTGGGTTTTTGGACTGCTCGATTTGAACAAGGTTAGTTTATATTGCATTAGGTTTGGTTTCCAATAGCTGAGCTAATTCCGGGCCCATAGTGTGGATCGCTTGCGGAATTCATCACAGTCGATCGCCGACGTGTGCATCGTGCACCCGGTGCCCAGAGTGAGCTCGCCCTGGAACAAATCGCCCTACTCCCACTATGTGGTGTTCCAACTCACCGGGCGCTTCGCACTCTTCCTTCTGTCTCTTCGGGGAAAAAAGCACTCGTGCTGAATGCCCATGATGGGGCGGGTGCCCTCCTCACTCAAGCCTTGGCAGCCCAGGGGGTTGTCGTTACGGCTCAAGTCCCATTGACGCCCGAAACTACCGAGGATGACCAGGAGGCGAAGACTCCTTCATTTGAAGAAAGGGTCCGATTGTTTGGTGCACAAGACGTCGAAATCGGCGAGCCCCTCGTTATCATTGCGGCGCTGAGAGATGCAGAATTCGATTATGTCCTGGATACCGTCGGAGGAAAGCGGATTTGGGAGGCTTCCCGGTGGATTATGCGATCTGGCGGACAGGTGCGCTAACATGTTCTCAATGTATCGCAATATTGCCTGGAAACTGATGAACTGATCATATAGTTCACGACTCTTCTCGGTGATGACGTTGACTCTGTGCCATACATGAACTCGAACCTCAAATCTAATTTACGGTCTATCCGCGGCGCTATAAAACGAGATAAAGGATATGAATGGGTCCTACCCAATGCAGAATTGGATACGGAAGGCGAAGACATTCGTGATGCTCTTGCCGCAGTAGCGAGCATGGCAGAAGCAGGTACTTTCGCTCCGTGGCCCAAGTGGGCCGTCCCATTTGAGCAAACACCAGAGGCTTTCCTTCCCGAGAGGGGGTTGCTTCGGAATGGCGGGACGGTCGTCAGCAAGATCCTTGGATGATCCCGGTGGTATTCATTGACATCGAACTTTTAATCTTGCATTGCATTTATTCTCTTGCTAGTGTCTCGTTCTTGCACTCCGAACCCCTTTGTTCCTTTCTTGCACGCTCGCTATCGCTGTCTTTACTGTAAATTTCCCCTATCTCCGATCCAATCCTGATAGAGCCATAACATTCTTCATCCTATTTTTCATTGCATAGGCACATCGTTTTTTGTATTATTCTTAGTTTCAGGCCAAAGATATGACGCCCGAAAACGGTGGCTAGAGTATAGTATGGATGGAGCGCAAGAGCTAATCGGCAACCATTCACCAACCTCACCCACCCCGGATAGGGAGGTATGGAGGCATCGTGTTATCGGCGGTCTGGCCGAGACAAGTATCCCACCCTCGGTTTTAGTGGATCGTTCCCCTAGTGGCAGTTGGTAAATATCTGTTCAACGAAGGTGCCCCCGGCCGTTGATTTACTGAATTGTGAGACATACACCTGAGAATTCAGATAGAACACGATTAACCACCTACCATTGTTGGGGCTGCGCTCTGCTTGATATTCCAGTTTAAACCAGCCATAACTCCACTGAAAGGAGAAAAAAAAGACGCTCGTGACAATATCGCCCTGATACTAGGTTGCGCCACATCCCCAGCATGTGCTCCAAATGATGACCAATAAGCGCACAGAGCGCCGAAGGTTTATGGCAAGATTCTAGAATCCTTGGGAACCGTCTGGCCAAGTCGTAGGATTAATATTGTGAGGCGTCCACCCACCTCCAGATTGCCCGTTCCGCCCGACAGTCAATCAGCATGTCCTATGCACCTGATTTGCTTCGCAAACCACACAAACACAGGTCAGTAATGATTACCAGACGAATGATGAGCGGAATGAATCACTAGCCACTGGGGCCAATTATCGGTTCGTGAATTGTCGGGTTTTGCCGTAATCCTTTCAATGCCTCGGATTCGAAAAAGTATGAGTAGACCCATAAGCACCTCCCTTCTCTGAAACTTCGCTGACTCTTTTGGGTGGGGTGCCATACAGAAACCTCTAACCGCGCATCCACCAATGATCGAGCCAAACTCCGGCATAAAATCGCAGAGGGCCGCAAGAAGAATCGAAAACTAGCGAAAAAGAATCCGCAATGGAAGTCTCGCGTGCCCAAGGATCCTGGGATACCCAACTCGATGCCGTTCAAGGACCAGGTCCTGGCAGAAGTCGCCGCGGAGCGTCGGCGGGTGAGCGAGATTGGATTTTCAAAAAAAAAAAAAACGGAGCGTATTGAACTGTTTATCTGCTCTAGGCTGAAGAGGAGAAACAACTCCGTAAAGCTGCGAAGAAGACAGTTCAGCAGGCGACCAAGGGCGACGACTCTGAATCCGAAATTGATGACTCAAAAATTGGTATGGACGGCGTGACATCTCTGGTGGTTCAGGCCAAAACGGTGCCAACGACCAAGACACCCAAGGTTTCTCAGCCTATCGAAGCAGCGGTGGTGGATGAACCAGAGCCACTATTATTTGATCCTTCGATCCCAGATTTAAAACATGCCCTCGACAAGGCCGACGTTTGGCTATATGTTTTGGATGCTCGCGATCCTCTCACTCACAGAAGCTCATTCATCGAAAATCTCGGGCGGGAGCAAGGGAAAAAACTTGTTTTCTTGCTCAACAAAATCGGTATGGTCTTGTCGTTCCTTTGCCATGTATGTGTGATTGAAATTATCCGTGCCCTTTGCAGACCTTTCTCCGCAAGAATCCCTCCGTGCATGGCTTGTACAGCTGCGAGCATTGCATCCGACATTTCCCTTCCGTGTTTCTTCGGCTTTATTACGCCCTGTGGACGACGATGCTAAAGGCAAGACTAAAGTTAGCGAGACAGATGGCCTAGGTGCGGAGGCCCTAGTGCAGCACCTCGAGCAGCTGTCTTCTTCGGGGGTGTCGCCGGTTACGATCGCAGTTATTGGCATGCCAAATGTACGTATCTTCTATGAACTCATACGGGCCCCTCGTCTTATATTGGTGTTGCAGTCTGGCAAGTCCGCCGTGATAAACACTATATGCGGGTTTTCGCGATTGGCAACATACAAGCCCGATCTTTTAAAATCCTCCACTGTGACCACGACACTTCCCCAACCCGTGGATTTTGATACACCTTCCGGCAGTAAACTACGCTTTATCGATACTCCAGGCTTCGACCTTGTTTTGCCACGTATGGGTGACATCGAGAAATATACCATGCAGGCGATAGACTCCCTCGTGCGCTCCCGTGGAAGAATAGAAAAAATGAAGTTGCCCGAATTGGCAGGTACGCAGTTTGAAGTATCGACGTTGCGTGATCATTGGCTCACCTTGTTTTGATTCAGCCAAATGGATCGTGTCCAGAGCGAAGCAGGAAGATCTGATGTTACATTATAGTACACCTGCCTATTTAGCGAGCGATCCCCTCAGTTTTTTGTCGGGGCATGCACGGACCACGGGGCGATTAAAGAAGGTTCGTTGCTATTTTTCACATGCAAGTGAAAGGACTATAGGGTTTATATGTCTCTCAAGGGAGGCGTGTTGGACATCACTGATTCGGCTCGTTCGATATTACGCGACTGGCGTGTCGGCAAGTTCCCCTATTACACCTCTCCCCCCGGACCTGCGAACGTCGAAGGACTGTCGGCGGAGGACGAGAAAGTGCTGGGGAACGTGCGCTCGCGTAAGGAGATGCGTGCACACCCTGGGCTCATTCGATTATCCTCTGGCACAGTCGATTCTCGCTCGGTGACTTGGATGCGCCGCTGCCAGCACCAGCACGAAATGTAGAACCTCTTGTGCCAGTTGATCCGAAAAGGACCGTCCGCTCCCTCGTCGATACCGAAGCGTCTGATGAGGAGGCAGAGACTAGCAGCGAGGATGGGGAGAATGATAATGAGAGGGGTATGGAAACCAAGCCTGTTCATTCGGCGTCATCCAAGCGGAAACGCGCTGCAGCGAAAACCGAGGGGGGACGGCCTGCGAAAAAGGTCACGTTTGCGGCGAAGAAGAGTGATAAGACGGCGGCGGTGGCGCGGCGAAAGTGGTGCCGCGCAAAGTTTCCAACGTCGGGAAAGGCGTCGCCAAGGTTGCTGCTGCTTCTGGAGATAGTGACGCATACGATTTTGGACAGTATTTTTGAGCTCACGCCGACCCCTCTTAGCTACTCAGTTTACAGTTATGAACTAATGAGGACTGAGTGACTCCGGAGTGGGGTCGCACAGTCGAAATGGGAGCTAAATTGAAGGTATAGATCTATCCGGCGCATTCTGTGCTTATCCAAGTGTTCGTCCGCCTGGCGAAATGGCTATCGCGTCAGACTTCTATTAGCGCTGCGGATAATGGCAATCTGAAGATTGCGGGTTCGAGTCCCGCGGTGGATTAGTTGGTGGCACATTTTTTCTGCTGTGGGCCTCCCCCATTTTCATTGGCTTTTGCGCTTCCATGTTCATACTGTTAGCTCCCTGCATCCTCTATGCGTGAGTACACCAGTAGCGGACATACCTAGGAAGACCGAGAATTCCGAGTTTGGATACTTGACCGAGGAATCCCCAAAAAAAATTCAAGTCGCAATTACCGTCGACTCCAGGGATGGGGAAAGGGTTGCAATTAATGATAATGATGTCCATGCGAGTAACACATTGCTTGATTCCCAATTTATCCGCCTAGCATGGATCCACAGGCTACATAGCACTGGGTGTTAATTTTCTGATTCCGGCCTTATGCTGCTCTACACATAAGCTACATCATCTGTCTGAAGGGAGGGGGAGGGTTGGTTGGAAATACAAAGTGTGCTAGTAGAGTACTTGGGTGCGAAACTGGCACACCTAGGGTGAAGAACCCGATCGAACGAACAAGCCACAATCTAGGGTTCAAAAATCCATCAGAATAGGGCCTGTTTCTTGGAGAAGCAGACGTTGCACGTCTCGGAGTGCGAGCCGGGAAATCTGCGTGATACCGTGGGGAAATGCTGCCGTTTGTGGACGACTTTGTTCTTCATAATGGAGGTGGAGGGGGTTTTCGTTGGATGATAGGGTCAATTGGAGTAGGCAACGATTGCGCATGCGAATAAAGTTCTTCGTCGGACGAGGAACTTGGACTTGGAGACGAATCGAAGGGATTCGTCGAGCTAAAAGTGGAGTCGATCACGATTGGAGGGAAAACACCGTTCGGGTGTCCTGGACGGAGGTGTCAGGATCAGACAGGGCATTAGTATTAAGGATACTCTGCATACCTTCGCCGTCCCACCAAGCTTTTTCATCGGTGCTTGGTGGAGGCACTGAAAATTAGAGGATGAATATCTTCACGAAGAATGAGCGACCAAGACATCGGACATACGCGGGTCCCTATTCTGAGTATCGATATCTAATGCTTGCAACTTGGCTTCCAGCTTCCCCTCCAGATCCGTCAGAGTAGTACCTTTGAGCAGTTCCTGGGACAAAGCAGCCTTTTTCGCGGCGTCGACAATTCTGACTCCCGCTCGAAACAGTCCGAAAACTATCCATAGCCTGGTGAAAAAGTCTGCCGTGAACACGAAGGTGAATACGTACCGGGTCGATGATCTGAACCTTTAAGTTCTGCTCGAGAATAAACCGAAAGATCTAGATCGTTGCCTCGATACAATATTCGATCTAGATAGTCAAATTGAGGATGCAGATTCTTTCCTGTGAAGCGAGTATGTACCTGTCCAAGCCGGGATGCGCATTTTTTCGCTAGTATCGTAGAAGTCTGAATGGAGGTTGTAACGATATGTTGGACGAAATAAAATAGGTCCCTCTTCATAGCCTACGAAGGCTGCTTGCGAATCCATGCACCTCTTTAACTGTGGCAAAGTTTACCAAGGTAAGATATGCATTTCAAAAGGAATTCCGGTCACAATTACCTGATCAGCAGCAAGCAAAGGATCCAAATTATCTAATTCGGCTAAGGATCTGACCTGCTCATTGTCCAAATCAATGCGATAGTTGGTGTCCGCCAGCCACACAACATTACTGAAAACATCGGTCAATCCAATTCCGGGGAAGAAACATCGCCGTAACGTACTCATGGGATGCCATCGTTTTGCCTTTCTGAAAGTGGAGCCCGGTCACAATTGTGCGGTAGTCACTGTTGCGCTCCTCAACGTTGGCATGCCCGGCAGCTAGGTGGGCGGTAACGAAACAAAACGTCGTGTCGTAATATTGCAGTCGAATTGCAACCGCGCCTTTATTTCCTGACATGCCTCTGAGACCGGTCTATAGGTGTACATCCCTTATTATCGTCCGATGTAAGTGAACCTCGGGGGAACCAGTACCTTGCGCGTCGCAGCTTCAACGTTTCTTATGATGCCAGAGAGCTCTGATCGTACCAGTAGGATCAGAGCTGTTCCGACGAGCTACGATGGAAAAAGACAGTGAGAAGAGCAATTGACAGATTGATAAAGCCGACCACGTTCACCTGCTCGCTCCGCAAGACGATATAATCAGCTTTTTTATTAGGTCGGCGAGCCAGCGTTTCCGTTATGACGGCCTCCCATCTCCGCCTACGTATCCCTTGGGTCAACAATTCCGCTTAAAGTGTTATATGTCAAGACTTACAGCTTTTCAGGGTCGGTCTGCACTATTTGTTGAGCAGTCAAAGGAACAATTTCCTGAAAACCAAGAACGAACATATCCGGACTACGAGAAAATCAGCATTGACGACAATGAGATGAAAAAACTCTTACTCCTGTGGGTCTACAGGGGAGGGAAGCCCCACCATCAATGAGGCGAAGATAGCATATCCATTGCGGTCACTCACTAGACTGAGGAAAGAGCCAAGGCAGTATGGACTCTGAGGCCGACTGTTATAGCCGAGTCAACCAGCTGCAGGAGGACAAAGGGGAAAACCCGGGTACTCACACGACCATTAACATTCCATGTCCCGACGAAGATTGTGCTATGAAATACCATTGAATACTCAGGCAGTCTGTGATGGGAAACATAACTATTTGGGGTGACGCAGAGGGAAAGCTGAACGACCGCACCGTGTTGCCAGAGCCGAGCGCACATAATCATGTACTGGATCAAAGACTGTGACAGGCCTCTGATTTGTCAAGTTCCCCTAAGAGTTCATCGGCGTAGAGAACGCATGTCAGTATATGATGCATTTTAGGTTGACCGGATGCGTGGCGTACAAGGAACATATCGATAGCAGTCTGCTTCGACTTATCCTGGAAGTTGTTGATATAGGCACGGGAAACGCTCTTAGTTGCATCCGATAGCACACCTAAATCAAGGCTCTTCAGTGGGACATAGCATAAGGAAGGATTGTCCACACGCACCAGCCAATGTGCGTTTCCCACTGCGGGTAACACTCGTGTTAAGAGCTCCAGTCCCAGCATAGATCCTAGATAGCGCGTCTCCGTTTTCGGCCCATAGCTCTCGGTGGTTCGACCAGAGCGAACTGTATCCTGTCCATTCATCGCGCATATTAAACAGATAGAGCTCGAGGGTGGTCCGAGATAAGATATCTTGGACGAAATTCGTGCGATCAAGGCTATGTAGAGCTGTAAGCCAATTGTAAAGGCTGATGTGTTCATTAGACGGCTCACCAGTCTAGGCAGTTCGTCCGGAACACTCCCTTCTGAGATGTGACGATCTCGTTTAATGAATGGTCAATGGTCGTGTAACTGTAATCCTCCATTCCCTCCTTGACTCCTGGCATCCTGCAAATTTCGCGGACGCTATCATGTCCACCCACTCGCACCGACTGATGAAAATCAAAATTGGTGATGCCAACTTTATTCGGGGCAGAGGATTGGATGGCTGTCGCTGCTGCTCTAACGTGCTGGACATATGCATCAGACAAGATCTGCTCGTTCTCTTTGGTGCTAAGGAGATTTATGGCATGTACTGCAGAGTATTCTTCCGTGAGGTGAAGGAAATGACGGTCAAAAGCTGGTTGAGAGGCGATTTGGGCCTGGTAATTTGGATCTTTTGACTGAATGTCTGTATCCCTTGTTGTTCCCAGAATACTATAAGTTGGTACATTGCGTGAGTGACAATTTCCTAAAAGGAATGGGAGAAGAGACAGACGAGGAATGCTCCCCCGGACTTGGGTGTAACTGAATGTGTATTCATTAGTGCTGAACATAGTTTCTGTCTTCAAATGTTGAAATCGTCGTCATGAATAATTCTATCTCGACATAAGAACGCCCAAACCTCGACAAAATTCGCACAGTTACCATCGTCATCAACTCCACGGGTATTGAAGCGGGTCCCCGCACGCTTCCAGCCAAGCCTAGATATCAGCGCAATCGTCCCAATGGCAGGGCCACTCGCAGGGGCTACGGGAAGTGGCATATTGAAGACCCCAACATAACCTTGAATCGCAAGAATCTATAGATATATCCCATGTTAAATTGAAGCATCTACTGGGGGTACGACGTACGATAAACTGGCAGAGATCCAGCTCTGCAGCTTCAAGTGGGTCCAGACGCTCACGGAACTCCAAGAGAGACTTGACGATATATTCGTTCCAGACAAATCGATCATCGTATCCATCCATCCCGCTCCCAGTCCGGTGAAATCTCAACCCAAGTCTAGTACTCAAATCCCATTGTGGCCGAGTAGCATAATAGAAAGTACCAGACGAGAGGATTTTGATCAGGGGAGCGCATGGGTGCTCATACATAGATCCGGGAACAGTCCCTTGAGTACCGGAAGCAGAGTAAGGGTCTCGCATGACGTCCGAGCCATCTAGAAACGAAGGGCTCGCAAGACCTTCCGAGATCGAGGACAAATCGTCGTAGGCAGACGAGTTAATAGAGAAGAAGTTCACATCCTGGATTCGCGATACATTCTCTGGGGTCGTACTCCCTGGTCGCATGTTACCAATGAAGGAAGCGAAGGTGACGACAGCGAGGAAAATATCTTGGGGTCGCAGACACTCAATGCACCATAATAAAAGGACAAAAGGAGGGAACCCACCGTTCCCGACGTTTATTATCCCGAGGCAGCCATACACGGATCGATTCGTGAGTCTGACTACCCCATTGAGATCTACCTCACTCTTGGGAAGGAATTCTACAACAGCCTGAGAAGAGGGTTGATTCTCGGTGGCTCTAAAAATAAGGGCTCGCGGAGGAGTCCCAAGGCGCTCGTCATCAGTGGTTGTCACCAACAGAAGTGCCCTAGGTTCCTCTCGAAGATAGAGATGCATGCGCCCAGCGGCCCGGTAAGTTCCGGTGTTGAGCTCGAGCTCGGCATCTGTCACGGTATCGCCCATAAAGTATTCGCCTACCCCTTCAGCACCATGGATTCTGTGATTGAACTCCAGCGGCAAACACATGAAGAAGTTGAGCGCTTGGAGATGACGCTTGCTTCGATCCTTTCTCAACAGACGAACCAGGTCCGATAAATAG